GTGAAGACAAAGTGTGTATTTCTTCTGGTCACTGTGTAGGGTAGATGAGCACATGCAACAGTGCAGCCACAGTGTGCGTGTGTATGCATGGTATTGTGTTTACATACTATAGAGTAATGGCACTAAAGTGGGCTTAACAGGATGTGACAACTCTCAGGAAGTCAAAATGCTGGGTTTTTTTTTTTGGGATGGTTAATAGTTCTGAGGGAGCTCAGTGTGGGTGGGAAAATAACACCACTTCCTGTCCGGATGTTAATAATTGATGCAGGGTGAGGCTTCAAACCAGACGAGCAGAAGGCACCACCAGAGAAACCACATAGCTACTGCTGACAGTTTCCACGTGTAGTTACATCCTGGCCGGTGTCAAAGTTTACAAAACACAACAGACATTCACTGAGAACAGCTCACGTTTAAAAACGTTTTTGTTTGTGGTAAAGAATGCAAAAAATCTGTGCCGTCATGTCGTCACAAATAAACACAGCAGCAAAGAAAAAGCACAAAAGATTAACCAGAAATGTTTTGGGTTGGCGATGATGAATAAATGAAAATGTCACATACATTATTCAAAACTGTAAGATTTTAATGAATTTATTTTTAACCTGCGCTGACATGTCTATCAGCTTTTTGAGCTTTTGTTTGTTTCCGTCTTCTGTTTTCAGAAAGTCCAGAAGACATCCTGTGAATAAGAAAATAAGAATAAGAGAAGTGACACCATCAGATAAAAAAATGAAAGGCAATCAAACGGAAACTAATGTATTTTCCATTCCTGTTATGCAGATAGGCAAATTGTAGGTAGAGGAATCAAATTCATATACACAAACATCCGCTTGGTATAAATATCGTTGGAGGAGTTTTGTGAGCCAAGGAGGTTATGTTTTCACCCCTGTCTGTTTGTTGGTTGGTTTATTAGCAAGATTGCACAAAAACAACTGGATGGATTTCCTCAGGGAAGAAGCCATTACATTTTGGTGCAGATCTGAATCGGGGGCAATTGACATTTGATGGAAAAAAAAAAAATCAGACATGCTAAATGCGACTGATATTTATGAGTGTTTGAAAATTGGTGCAAATCCTAATAAGTTTAAATATGGCATCACGGGACTGGTGGGCCTGGTTGGAGTTACACTGTCTACTGAGTGACATCATAGTGTTTGAATCTGTAGTTTAAGAATGTTTAAATTAAAACGACTGCAACAAAACCTATTACAGAACAAAGTGAAATAGAATAATACTTCAAAAATATGAAACTTTTTCTGCCTCTCATTTTCAAGGATTTGCTGCTTTTCTTTCGTGTATTGGAATGTTTAGATTCATAGATTGAACCTTGTAAAGATGACAAATTTTTTAAAATATTTATTTTAATTATTTATAGACAGAAAGAAAATAATAGTAAAATTCGAAAGCTTAAAAACTGAGTTGTTTGTCCACCCACGTGTTTATTTAGCGTCTTACCATTGATCATGAACTCAGTGACGATGAGAATGGGCTCTTTCGTGACCACAGCGTAGAGACGCACCAGTCGTTCATGCTGCAGCTGCTTCATGAGGTTGGCCTCCTGGAGGAAGGCCTCAGGCGCCATTGTTCCCTCTTTTAACGTCTTAATGGCCACCTTTTGGGTGTTCTTGTAGAAACCTGTAGCAAGGATTTTAAGCAGCGTTGTTACAGTGACACACTTTAATGTCTCTGTTCATTAAATGTCTCCGGTGACATTAGTAGCTTTCTCTCACCCATCCACACTTCTCCGAACTGCCCAGCTCCCAGTTTCTTCACCATTTTCAACGTCTCTCTGGGAATCTCCCATTCGTCTTGTGCCCATGTCAGCTGGGGTTCTTTAGGTATACAGGGGGCATACAGTCTCTGACACAGACCATCAGACATACCTGAAACCAGAAATGCAAATATAATAAACAGGTTTTCCTCCTGGTTTCATTGCTGCTGTGATAAATGTTGTCACTGAAGCACAGCAGGGCTGGTGAGCTCTTCTTTCCTCAATAGTCTTGAGAGGGTTTCTGTTTGTGAGATTGCTTGCGGCTCATAAGTTGCTGCGCATTCGTAACTATTCTAGAGATTCTAGAGAGACCTTATTTTGTGGTGGTATAGATGCAGGAGAGGAAAGACATACAGGAAATGCATGACACACCACAGGGGTCTAACTTCTTGGTGCAGACATCTGTTCTGTGCATTCTGAGCGTACACTACTCAAATCAAGTCATTCAGATTGTCATCATTTTCAGTTTTGTTTTTTCTTTACTCACGGGTGTAGTATGTAACCAGCTCCTGCAGGGATGGGAACGAGCAGGAAGGAGAGATGTAGAAGCCACCTTTATCCAGAGTGCGGATCTTGTAGTGTTTTACATCATCTCCTTCTGGTCCATAATCTCTGATTGACAGTGAGAAGGACCCTGAAGGGTAAAACACACAGATTGTAAAGTATCTGTACCCTGAAATGTGATGCCAGTGATATTTGTATTTGTGTTGGAACACATAAAGAGACTGATGGGAGTCACCTTTAGCGGTCTCGCTCTCTCGAACTAGAAAAGCACCTGGTTTATTGCCAGGCGCCAAAAGCAGTCGTTCAGTCTCTCTGCGACTCAAGTCCTTGAAATACCATCTAGGCAAGAGACAAAACAAAATTTACTTCAACAATCTCTAAAGCGTTTGCAGCGGTGCTGAATTATATCGGCCACGTGTTTGAATGCGTTGCTTACTTTTCCACCTCCATCGTATCTGCTCTGGCAACATAATTACTCGGTATGAAGCCTTCCTGTCCTGTCGCCAACAATCTCGCCCGCCACCATTCTCCATTTCTTCAAATAAACAGGGGATGATCAGTTTTTTTTCACTGTTGCTAGGTCAACACTGAATCGTATTGGGACCATATGATGAGACTTACTCTTGCAAAACCTTAAGTTTGTCTCCCTTCTTGAAAGGCAGGTCGTTTTTGCTCTTGGCTTTGAAGTCGTGTTGTGCCACAAACACAATGTCATCTAAAGTCAAGTGGAGCGAAGAGTTAAAGGAAACGAGTTCACAAAGCAATGTCACTTTATTATACTCAATTTATGTTTTTTCTTTTGGCCCCTTCCTCCCTTTCTCACGAAAATAAGTTTATTTAAATTACATTGTTACTCGTCTTCTTAACGCAATATAATTCTCTTTTTATTTACACTGTCTGCTACATTAAACTGACTTTCTCCTCATCTTTCACAAATAATCTAATTTTAGTCCCAGAAGAGGACAGAGGAAATCTAACTGAGAACTCTAACACTAAATGTAACCTCCACATTCTTGCACAGCAACAGTCAAAAGCATTAAACGCTGTCCTGTTATTTCAGAAAGTGTAGAAATGCTGTTATGTGAGTTCAGTCATTACCATTCAGCAAATAGCTATTTCGACTTCTTGCCTAAAGAACAGAAGAAGTACATTATTATTAACATAAACATTCACAGTGAGCAGGAAGTCAATGAAAAATGATACAAAGTCAGTAGAGATTATTTTCAAATCACAGTAATTATTGTATCAACTCCACCAGAGCTGGAGAGCTGGTGTTTTCACCCGCTTTGGTTTTGTTAGTTTTGTTAGTTAGCAGGATTACATCACATTTGACGGACAGATTGTGTGAGGACTTTTTCAATGATTTCCTGGGTAACGATACGTGAATCTCGATAAATAGAATTGGGCGCATTTAAAGGACTGATATCCTTGGCGGAGGTACGTGTTCTCTTGAGTGCAATTCAGTTCTTAACCACAGTGAATAAAGTTTTTGTCCTTGTGTTCTACTTACAATGTCACCCAGCAAGTGGGGGGCCTGAGATCTGTGCTTTCCTTTGTAGAAGTCACCTTCGTTGACTCGTGTCTGGTCACTCCAAGTGCAGCCCATCCTGAATATATATCATGGAATTAATAACCTTCTACAGCTAAACCAAATACTAATAAAAAGACAGGTACAACATCCATGCTGGTTTGTTTCTGTTGATACCTGATGAAGCAGATGTTTTCAGTCTCCACTCCTCTCACTGCAGGGCCTTGTCTCTGAGTTCATCCCCGGTTCAAAAAATGAATTCAACTCACTGTAAACTGCAAAATAAAATTACTGAAGTCTCTGTTGTTAGTGTGTTTATCTAAGAACATAACAAATAAGCCCTCGTATGAGGAAGTGGAAAAATAATTTTACAGCTTTAGATGGTGTCCTTTGCATATGCCGTTAAAGCCACAGTAGCATTTCAGAGTCAAAAATAGAGGAAGGGTACTGTGAATTTGTTCATGTTTAAGAGTCAATGTGAAAGTACCATGTTTTTCAGAGCTGTTTCTGAGTTGTTGTTTATGATAAATAGTGATCAGAGTTTCAATGAAATGGTCCAGAGTTGTGAGAGAACATTTCAGTGTTTTAATACTTAGCAGAAATTAATCTGATTTACCACAAAGTTTAATTTAAACTTAAATGTCAACAATATTCAGCACAAACCAAACTTGCTTGGACTTCATACTGGAGTCACACGTTATTTGTTTCTGTTCATTGACGGACTTTTGATGTCAGCATCTATGTGTCAGCACCATAACAGGAATAATGTAAAACTATATTTTTTATTTTATTTATGTGCCATAAAAAAGCCACTGTGATGAGGACAATCTTTTGTTGTACTTTCATTGTCTTAACTATTCATTATTGTGACTAAACTATGGTGGTCATATTATAAGTGGCACTGCTGTTGAGAAATTACAATTTAAAATATCTGTATTTAAGTGTAACACTAAATGTTTAAGTGTGTCTCAATTTTTTTACTGACCTTTGCTGCATCAGCTTTATATTACAAATATTTGAATCGTGCTATTTTCACACACACTAGGAATTGTGTTTCTCTTTCTCTCTCTCAATTTATTTTCACGTATAAAACTGTGACAGCTTGTATCTCTGATAAACACTTTTCACACGTGCACCTTTTGTCCCCAAAATTTTACATTATTTCTCTTCTGTTCCTTTTACCACCATATCATTACAGTAACCCTACTTTTACTCCCTGTCTGCAGTCTGTATTGTGAGATAATTGTACAGTACCTTGAGACCCCAGGCTTCAGTCGTCAAAAGTACTCCACATGTTAAAATGTCTTCAAGTTCCTCATCAAAAAATTCTTGTCAGCCTCTCTCTCGCTCTCACTCTCTCTCTGTCTCTGTCTCTCTCTCTCTCACTCACTCTCTCTCTCTCTTTCACTCTCAGGAGAACTACACTCACGTTACAGTAAAGAGATAACAGTTTGTTTATGTTGTCTGGTCATTCCTTCTCTTGCCCCCTCCTGCAGATCTTCTAACAAACTGACAAACCTAAATGACTGACCAAACCTTCATGTGTGAAATTAATGAATATTGTCTCATCTTAATCAAATTCCAAAGAGGAAGAAGCTTACAATTGTTGATTTGTTATAAACAGTTGTATTTCAAAATGTTTGTGTGTGGACAGCATATAATTTGTGTTAATATACAACTTGTTTATTACTTTTACTACAAGTCATTTTGCACGTCACATGCGATCGCAGTGGAAAAAGGGGGCTGTGCTGTGATGTGTGTAAGTGTCTGAGTGATTGTTGGCGTGTGTAACACAAAGATAGAATAGTTTCCATGGCGTATGTCTAAGTTCCTCTTTTCTGTTTGTGTCTACAATTAAACTTACTAATAAACCTCAATGCGTTCACAATACTTAGAAAAGCAGTACATATCATCACCACTAGATGGACTAGTGGACTAGTAATGAGTCAAATTGGGAGCCAGTGTGTACTCATGGGAAGAGAGGACGTATTTTTCTCATATATGTGCAATGTCAAAAGTTGCAGATATTAATGCAATTTAAATGATTCTTATCCTTACAAACCTGCTTTGACCTTTATTACCTGCTGAACATAGACTATAACATCATGTAGAGCTCTTTATTATACACATAGTTGCAT